AGACCCCTGCTTTAGCAGCCAACAGAGAAATGCTCCCTTTTGCAGTTGGTATCCCCCACTTTTCTTCTCCTCCCCCCCCTCCCTGTGCAGGTAGAAGGGCCATTCGGCAGTTAGCTACATGTTCAAACTTCAGAGAGCGGAGCCATCATTTCAAGCCTGGTTCTAGGAAATCTTGCTTGCTCCCGAAGGATGCACGTTTGCACAATCCCTTGATTATTTCTTGCTCCGTAGTTGAGGGGAAGCGAGAAACCGGGAGATATAAAGAAACAAGGCGGAGGGGGATGAGCCAAAAAAAAAAAAAGTTTCACTCCTCTAACATGTAATAACTCTGAGAATTATCCTTTAGAGCAGGGGTGTCCATCCAAGCTTGGCAACTTTGGAGATGTGTGGACTTCAACTCCCATAATTCCCTAGCCAGCATGGGTAATTTGCTGGCTGGCTGGGGAATTCTGGGAATTGAAGTCCACGGGTCTCCAAAGTTGCCAAGCTTGGATATCCCTACTTTACAGTAAACCGATAGTCAAGCAACGGCCTTAAATTAAAGATTACTGCATGCAATTTATGCAAACCTGGAGCTCATCACTTGTGGAATTCAGTATATTTCTGGTCGTAGGGCAAAACTGGTATACTGTAAGTACAGTAATTTCAGGAAATGTGTTTAAAGGCCCCACCAACTAAACTAGGCCTGATATATGTGGGTTTAAGTAGAAATAATGACCAAACGTGAGTTCTGTGTTCATGGACAAAAGATTACCTTAAACCTTTGGAAGAGAATCTCTGTAGCCCAGGATTGAACTAAGAGGTCCTTGGTGCTCCCTGAGTTTGGCTGTTTTCTTGCAGACGTTTCATTACCTAACTAAGTAACATGATCAGTGCTAGAAGGAAGTGGAGTTTGTAGAGAAGAGGAGGAGGAGGGGAAGGGGAGGGAAGGGGAGGAGAAGGAGAAGAGGACTATGGGGTCCTTGGTGCTCTCTGAGCTTGGTTGTTTTCTTGCAGACATTTCGTTACCCAATGAGGTAACATGATCAGTGCTGTAAGGAGGTGGGTTTGTAGAGAAGAGGAGGGGGATTGTGGGGTCCTTGGTGGTCTCTGAGCTTGATTGTTTTCTTGCAGATGTTTCATTATCCAACTAGGTAACATCATCAGTGCTAGAAGGAAGTGGAGGTACAGAGAGGAGGATGAGAATGACAAAGATGATTGATGCTATCTGAGCTTGGTTATTTTTCTGCAAATGTTTCATTACCCAGCTAGGTAATATCATCAGTGTGTGCATCCTTCATACTGTTAATGTTACCTAGTTGGGTAATGAAACATCTGCAAGAAAACAACCAAACTCAGAGGACCAAGGACTCCCCAGGAAAGTTTGCTGAAGGGGCAGCTGGATCCTTGGTTTGTCTCGAAAAACGCTTGGCTTGCTTGCTGGAGCTCTTCATCTTTATATTTATTTAAATCTTACCTTTATTATTTCTGCAAATAACTCAATGTGGCGAGCATACCTAATACTCCTTCCTTCCTTCTGTTTTTCACCGTAACAACCCTGTGAGGTGGGTTTGGCTGAGATTGGGACTGGCCCAAAGTCATCCAGCTGGTTTTCATGCCTAAAGCAGGATTAGAATCACAGTCTCCTGTTTTCTAGCTTGGCGCCTTCCACAAATAGATCCAGCTAACTCTCACATCAGAATGTTCAAAAAATGCTAAACCAGCGGTCTCCAAACTTAGCACCTCTAAGACTTGTGGGCTTCAACACCCAGAATTCTCCAGCCAGCCAGCAATTACCCATCCACAAGTCTTAAAGTTGCCAAGTTTGGGGACCCCTACGCTAAATCTTTAGAGTGTGTTGTGTAGTAGTAACAACTTGGTTACTCTTTGGAATGATCCAGCTTGAAAATGAGTAGAAAATACTTCTAGGTCCTTTGCTATGTATCTCCTTGTCTTCCCAACTGACCTACATAGTCCTCACACAGTGTTTTTATTTTAAATCTAGAACAGTGTTTTTCAGCCTTTTAAAAACATGCTGGCTGGGAAATTCTCGGGATTGAAGTCCAAGCCATCAAAGTTGCCATGGTTGACAAATACTTTTCTCAATAAAAATGTTGCCCTTATCCAGAATGAATTTATATGTGCATGAATTTTTCCTTGATAACTAGCCCTCTCCTTGTTTAGTTTATTAAAAAGCCAGCTGTTTATTCTTCTCCCTACAAGTAGGCCACGGATCGGTACATGGAATTGGGGTTTAAGATTTTACTAGGAATTTGAAATAGTAGCTATGAATGGAAAATATACCACAAGTATCTTGGGGATTCCTTGGACCCTATCAGTTAGTTTTCCATATTTTTACTTATAGTTTCTCATTCAAATTGAATATCACAGAAAAAATAATTTAGCCTTCCTTCCTTCCCCTTTTCCTTCCCCTTTTCCTTTCCTCCCTCCCTCCTTCATTCTTTCCCCTCCCTCTCCCTTTCCTTCTCCTCCCTTTCTCTTTTTCTTCCCTCCCTCTCTTTTTTCTTTCTTTTCTTCCTTCTTTCCACTCCCTCCCCTCCCTCCCTTTCCTTTCTTCCCTTAGCCTCCTTCCTTCTTCCCTCGTTCCCTCCCTTCTCCTTTCCTTCCTTCCTTCCTTCCCTCCCACCCTCCCCCTCCCCCTCCCTTCTCTTTTCCCTTCCTTCCTCCTTCCCTTCCATCTCTCCCACCCTCCCTCTTTTCTTCCTTTACATCTCTCCTTCCTTCCTTCCTTCCTTCCTTCCTTCCTTCCTTCCTTCCTTCCTTCCTTCCTTCCTTCCTTCCTTCCTTCCTTCCTTCCTTCCTTCCTTCTCTCCCTCCCTCCCATCTCTCCTTCCTTTACATCTCTCCTCCCTTCCCTCCCTTCCTCCCTTTAAAAACAACAAAATATGTTGATCTAGGTACCCTCTGTTTTCATATCAACTTTGTGGTCTCCTCTTGACATTGACATCAAAATTCATTTGGGGCTGTTACATTCTGGATATCTGCTAGTTTGCAAACGGGGCTCCAGAGAACTCTTTTATTAACTCATTCCAAAGAAGTTGTTATTCCTGAAGAAACAGAATTTTTTTTTAAAAAAGAACTTGGGCTGGACTCTGCATGCGGCAGAGTCACTGCAAAGCTTTTAAACTATATCAGTGGAAAATACTTTAAAGGCTTTGCAGTTTAAACTGCAGTTCTTTAATCCAGAGGTCTTCAAACTTGGCAACTTTAAGACTTGTGGACTTCAACTCCCAGAATTCTCCAGATAGCTATTTCTGTTCCACCGGTTAATTGTCCTCACTGTTAGGCAGTTTCTCCTTAATTCCAGGTTGCTTCTTTCCTTGATTAGTTTCCATCCTTTGCTTCCTGTCCTGCCTTCAGGTGCTTTGGAGAATAAACTGACCTCTTCCTCTTTGTGGCAGCCCCTCAAATACTGGAATACTGCTATCATGTCACCCCTAATTATTATTTTCTGTAGACTGGCCATACCCAAATCCTGCAGCCATTCTTCATTTGTTGAAGACTGTGTATAGCGCTTCAGGGATAGAGGAGTTGGAAATGACAAGATGGGGGAAATC